TAATTTAATGATTTTGTTAATATTTAGACAATTGAATTAATTAATCTTGACAAACTTCCAGCTGGTCAAAATGCTATTGTTGCTGTAATGAGTTATTCCGGTTATGATATTGAAGATGCACTTATACTTAATAAATCTTCATTAGATCGAGGTTTTGGACGATGTATTGTTTATAAAAAACAAGTTGTTGCTATGAAACGTTATCCAAATCAAACATGTGATAAAATAAAAGGTCCATTAATTAATATTGAAACAAAAAAACCTAAATGGGAACATGAAGTACTCGATATGGATGGTATTGTTGGTGTTGGAGAAATAGTTGATAATAAACAAGTACTTGTAAATAAATATACACCTAGTTCAACAACAATGACACTAGCTGAACAACAAAGTTCAGCTGGAACAGCAAATAATGTTTTTGCTGAACCTGAAGATAAAGAAACACCTTTAATTTATCGTAATCCAGTTCCAGCTTGTATTGAAAAAGTTATGTTAACAAGTAATCATGAAGATATGTTTATTGTTAAATTATTAACACGACAAACACGTCGTCCAGAAATAGGAGATAAATTTAGTTCACGTCATGGACAAAAAGGTGTTTGTGGCTTAATTGTACAACAAGAAGATATGCCATTTAATGATTATGGTATGTGTCCAGATATAATTATGAATCCACATGGTTATCCAAGTCGAATGACAATTGGAAAATTAATTGAATTATTAGGTGGAAAAGCTGGAGTTCTAGAAGGAAAATTTCAGTAAGCATAAATAACATAAATTGTAAAAGAAATGGAAAAAATGTCGAACTGTACAGTTCACGACGATATCTCTTCAGATTCTTCATTATGATTTCAATAACTTTTTTACCTATAGATACTACATAATGATCTAACAAAAACACCTAAAAGGATTTAGACTCCTATCCAGATTTTACTAAGCTATTGAATTTTTATTCTCTCTATTGTCTAAAGACTTGATATTTTCGAAAAACTTGTATTTTGATATCAAATCTTGCACAGATGAAGAATTGAACTAGACTAGCTTTCTTAAAAAAATTCAGTAGTTTTGAACATATTATCTTCGAGATATGAAGCTTTCCAAAAATGTATACTACATACACTGTCCACTAAAAAGAGTCTATGTCTTGAAGAAATGTTGTTCAAAATTTTGAAATTTTTTTTTTATGGAAGCTGTTCTAATCGAGTTTTCTACATGAGCAGAGTTTTAGATCAAAATTCGAAAATATGAGTATTCCGAAAATATAGAGCCTCTTGAAAAACGACATATTAATAATGTGAAAACTAAGTCAAATACTTTTAGAATTTTTATTAGAATACTATGTGGTATTTATAGGCAAAAAATCATTGAAATTGGAAGAAAACATTTGACAATGTTTTTTCATCAATCATGTTAAAAACCTGCAGTGTGGTATTTTTCTTGATTGCAACTTTCGACAGCACCCAACGATAGCTTGTAATAGGTTATGATCAAGTTCCTTTGCCTTTGATTTGATCCTTCGAACTGATGCATCCAAATATTTTGCTTCCCAATTATTTTCATACTCTTTTCGTTTGAGTAGATTCCAAAATTGTCACAACGTGGGAGCAATGAGTACTCGCCTATCCGTTCAGAGTAGATATTTTCCATCCTGATAATAATTTTCGTTAAAAATAAATACTCTTCTGTTAATATGTTCTTTCAACTATGTGACTTGAAGGATAATTTGCTTGCGTCTATGAATGTACACATTAGACACACATTTCCAGGATATGACTATCTTAGTTGGATCAGTTAATTAAAGAAATCGATTGCCGATGATAATCTTACTAACTAATTTTAAGTACTTTTCATCGATCTTCTTTGCCTTCACTCTCCACTTTCGAATAATCAATGATGTTATTTTACTCAGATTACTTGAAATAATTGCATAATTGTATCCCAACTATCGTTCTTAATTTTCATTGACTGAGACTATACTAATTGTTTACGGATTTAACGATAGCATTGAATTGTTTGTCCGAAATCTCACGAGAGCGACTACTCTGCAGATAATTTCACTATTATACAATAATGATACTTCTATAATATATTCTAGATTGTTGTTGCGCAATCTTTCACTTTTTGAATTTGCTTTAGTTTTCACGAACTTATTTTGAAGAATCAGCATAAAAGTTACCAATACGTTATTCTAGAACTTTTCTTTCGTCACGAGTCATTTTTTTACAAATGGGTTGTAATAGTGAGTCACATCCTTTTCGAAAGAAAAGAGAAGGGGTTACCAGAACATCAACAATCATTCGTTTTATCATGCATTCATTCACGTGAAAGTGGCCTCGACATTTTTTTTTGTCTTTTGCAATGAGTCTTATGTTTGTGTTTCACAAAACAGAAAAACACAATTTTATATTTTTAATTTCTTAGTTATGGCACAGCATTTGGTGGTGATAAAATTGTTGATTTATCAAAAGTATTAATTGATAAAGGTTTTAATTATTTGGGTAAAGATCTGTTAACATCGGGTTTAACCGGTGAACCATTACAATCATATATTTTTTTTGGACCTATATTTTATCAAAAACTTAAACATATGGTTCAAGATAAAATGCATGCAAGGTAAATATTTCCAAGATATTTTCTTACATCTATTATTTGTTATATATATTTTAGAGCACGTGGTCCTCGATCAGTGTTAACTCGACAACCAACTGAAGGTCGATCACGTGATGGTGGTCTTCGACTTGGTGAAATGGAACGTATGTATTAAGATCTATAGATCCCCTATTTATGTACAAAATATGAAACTAATCGCTATGAATCGGCAATGTTCTTGTGTTTGCTATAAATTGTTCTCTACTTGTTCAAACATTATTGAAAATCAAGTTTTCTTACATAATTTACATATAAATCAGATAACCAAATGAAGATATTATGTGATTAGATTCATGCCAGTCTTTAACTCATGAACAAATATAGTTCGATGAAGCTTTATTGTTTGTGTCATTCGATGAATATTTGCCACTAAGTCTTAAGAAATATAACCTTCGAATGCGACAGTTTGAATAAAAAGAAAAAGCAAAAGTTAATCAATATGAATTGTAATCGAGAAAAATATGAAAACAGCTTTTCGAACAAAGCCTTCAATTGAATACAAAATAAAAATATATCAATCTTCTTAATATTGAATAATATGAAATAGTAATATTAACATAAACAATATATGAATGAGTTCATTCATTATTAGTTAATCACTAAATTATCTCAAGTAAACTCTAATACTTAATAGTGAACTTTTAATTAGTTTCTTTTTTTACATCGAATGTTAGCTGTAATTGAGGAACCAAATAATATAGACGTACATTATGATTAAAATCCTTCTTTTTCTTGGTTCAACATTTCTATTAAAATTCAGTTTTAATATAATTTCATGAAAATCTGTATGCCTAATACTTTATTTTAAAAACAACTTCTATTTATTAACGTCAGAATACAATACACGTCAATGTTTTTGAATAACTTTCTATAGGATCATCATAGAGACCTGCAGTTTCACTATTCAAGAGAGAAAATTCAGAGTTGTCGAAGCATATCGCAATTAGATTGACCAGCAATTGACCAATTAGATGAGTTCTTGGTAGAAATCTTCGAAAACTCTATTCTGTTGTCATCTTTCTTTTGAATAAGATTTATGATACGATCAAACTAATAGAAACAAGTTCCTCTTCTGCGATCTGTGCTAAGCCGATATTGCTTGTGTGTTCCATTGAAGAGTTATATATAATACTTTTCCTAAGACAAACAATTTAAGCCAATTCATTGTGCTGAGTTAAATGGTGAAATTTTATTTTTTATGCTCGAATTAATTTAACACTTTTATCTTAATAGTTTCAGAATGTCGACTCTTTCGTTAAATATGGAGATAACAGTGTTAGATCAGTTCGAACCTAAAAACATATATTTCTATTCGACTCAGCACGGTGAATGGGCTCAAGTCGTGGCTATCAGGATAAATCTGATAAGTTCTTAATGAAACAGGTTAGGAATCTCGGTCTCGTGTAGATCGAAAGAGAAGAGTTTTGTCTATCGTTAGATCACATAACAAATCTAAGCTGAAAGGGAGATGACTTCAGAATATCGTTTTCAAAACTCTTCACCAAGAACTTACCTAATTAACCAATCGCTGACCAATCAAATCGCAATACACCTCAATGATCCCGAGTCTTCTCTCTTGAATGATGAAAACCGCAGGTCTCTATGATGACTCTATCCAAGGTTAATCAAAAAACATTAAACTACCTTACATTTTGGTGTTGATAATAGTTCATATCTTTCGTATATCAAAGAACAAAGCGTGTTTCTTTGTAGCCATTTTCAGCTACATAAAAATATCTTTTGTTTTGTATTAATATAAATTTCTTGACTATTATTCGTATCGAACAATTTTCTTATTGATTCACTTTTCGTAGTGACCAATAGAAAACCTAAGCTTGCTCATATGATTCATATTTTTGTACCTAAATATCACAAATGATTTGTGGCGATATTGATCCTGATATTTTGTTTATTTCTAGGTGATTGTCTAATCGGTTATGGTGCAAGGTAAAAAAAAGTCAAATTGGTTTTTTTTTCTTTTCTATGCTTTATATTTTAGTATGCTTATACTTGAACGTTTAATGATATCGAGTGATCAATTTCAAGTCGATGTATGTAACCAATGTGGTCTATTTGGTTATAATGGATGGTAAAAAATAATTCTCTTTAATTTCTTCAAAATAATGAACAAAAAAACTTTTTTTTCAGGTGTCAATTTTGCAAATCATCATTAGATGTGGCAACTATAAAAATTCCCTATGCTTGCAAATTACTTTTTCAGGAATTACAATCTATGAATATTGTACCACGAATTTCATTAAAAACACAAATTTGATGAAAAAAAAAACATAATAAACATTTGTTTTTATAAATGTGATGGTTTTTGTGTATTTGTTTTCTTTTTCAGATATATGGGAAATCATAATTCAACAACTGATACTTCTTTTATAAATAATGAAAGTATATTTAAAGTTGATAACATAAATTCGTATGGTCGAAAACATTCGACAGCCAAAATTCAATTATTAAATGATAATTTATGTATACATCAAAAACATCGACAATCCTTATTTATTCCACTTAATACAATAAAACGTTATGGCTTAGATGGTTCAATATTTATTCTTGAATGTGGTCGTCGTGCACCACTTGGTTCTGCACGCTATGCATTTCGTTGTAAACAAGCTCGACATCTTGTTGATTGTTTAGATGAACGTATATCAGTAATTTCAAATAAATTACTCAATGAACAACAAGATAAATCATTATCGAGTTTAACAACTGTTTCATCAGCATTTAATAATCTACGACGAACACAATCATCAATATCATTATCATCAGACACATCATTTTATCGAAATTCTCAAACGAATTTATCAGAAAATTATTTTATTTTTGAAAAAGGCAATCAACAATATCCTAATTCAATAAATTATGCAGAATTTCAAACACAAAGAGAAAAATCACAATCATCATTAGAATTACCAATAACTTTTGAAATGGTAAAACAATTTCCGATTACAATAATTATCTAAATAAATTCATTTTGTTTTCATAATTAGCATCAATCAAATGTAACCCTATCGAATAGTCAAAATGATGATACAATTGCAGCTACACTTGTTCCCAGTACATCAAAATCTTATGTTCTTATTGATCATGAAAAAACAACAACATTGAAAGAAATAACTAAACAACGATTACAACAACATCCTGTACGCCATGATACCTAATGATTAAATCTTCTATCTTCCTAATCTCATTATTTTTATTTGTTGATTGTACATTTTGTATTAGTTTTTTTCTTGATTTTTTTATCAAGGTCTTTTTTGCTGTGATGTGCCTGTCTAGTAGTATGTATTCAAAATTTCGTACTAGTTTTTGTATGCTTTAAAAAGATACTATTGAGAAAATTTTTGTATTCATAACAGTTTTGATATATTGATGCTTTTTCCTACATGCTGTTGAATATCTACATATTGTGTGGTGTCAATTTGATACTAGAGCAATTAGATGGAAATATCTCGACCTCTATGTAACACTCTAGGGAGTTATAAATTGCTTTTGAGATGATTCTAACATCATTAGATAGAATCGACTGAGACGAGAGAAAGTTTAAAAGAACTTATATCTATAAATCTTTTGATTTGTGGTACGGCTAAACAATGAGCTATACAACAAGCTGTTAAAGTTCCTTTCGAATCGACTTTCGATTTGAAATCTTGCATAAATAAAGTTCTCAATGACAACAATGTTTTGTGAAGCTGTTCGATTAACTAGAATATTCTATGGTTAAATACAGACTTTAAGAACAAAGTTTCCTTTTTTTTGCATTACAGAATTTTCAATGTTGATAGCTTAGGAAAGATATCGATTTCGAAGATGATAAGAGGATATTAAGATATTTTGTTGAAAATCTTACGAAAATGACTGCAATGCAAAATAAAAAGTCGATGAACATAATTCTTTTTGGGTCTTCACTCATCTTAATAGGAACTACCAAAAATAGTTTACCATTTAGAAAGGTTCGCTCATCCTTTAAACAATGACGCATGAATAAAAAGATCGAGTTGTTTTTTCACTTTAACAGTAATGCACAATATCATAGTTTACTTTCATTGAATGAACTGTTTCATTCTATCGGTATGACAAAGCGAATTATGTGAATCTTTCTTCCATCATCCTCTTTTTGCAATAATAACACCTCAAATTAAACAATCAAGAAGTCATATTTTTAAAGATACGAGGTTAAACTGGTAGGATCTTTTTAGAATAGCAGAAACTATACGATTGTGAAATTTTTCTAACAAGAGAACTACTCCATATGATAGCCGCCATTTGAGCTGATATTGAATTTATAAGAATGCCCTGGTGAGGCTTGTAATAATCTAAAAGGGTTTATTCTCATAAGCCTATGAAGTCGAGTCATGATTGTTTTACTGAATTTTCGAACCAATTTTGAGACACATACCAAAAAATACAAAAAAGACAATTTTCTCCCGAAAATTTCGACCAAAGATAGGTCTGATGAGCCTCAGAATATCGTGAAAGTTTCAGCCGAATAGAATGTTTTTTTCCTCTTAAAATATCAAATTTATAAAAAGTATCGCTTGCCACAGGCACGATACAAAACTCGACTGTACTTGAGACCTCAGTATCGAGACAAAAGAAATATTCCTTTCGGCTGAAGCTTTCTGGATATTCTCTAAAAGTTATTTGACCTATCAATGAGCAAAATTTCAGATAGAAATATAGTAAAAACAATTATAGCTCGACTGGAAAGGCTCATAGGAACGAGTCGTTTTATAATTTTAATAATCTTATCAAGGCATCCTTTGAAGCCTAATAATGAGCTCAAACGATGGCTGTCAACTTGAATGGTTTTGCCGTAAGATCTTGTCATCCAATATCATCTTTCTGAATGAGAACATGCAACATGTGATGCATCAACAAGACCTTGTAATCATCTAAAACTACTCAAGGCAACAATCTATCATATACGCTCATCTGATTATATAATCTGACAGCATGTTCACTTGGCTATCATTTTCTGACGCACGGTTTCTATTGAAGCGCTATTTAATAAGAATACAATAAAATTAGCATTGCTTAAGACTCATATAAGAACGAACTATATACTTAGGTGATAGACAAGTTCGATCATCATCGAATGGTATTGATCCTATTCACTAGATACAACTTTCTTACGGCTTCAAGTATTCGATTTATCGAACTAATTATATTATTACAACCTACCTGACATTGATTCAAGAACTTTACAAATCATCATCTTCATTCAAGCCTGTAAACTGTATATGAATATGGAATTAATCATTCCAGTTGAAGTATGTAAAAGAAAGTTTTCAGAGCATTTTGAAAAACAGAAATCTGAGATGTTAAAAAAACAATTAACCATCTACTTAAGGATACAAAAACGTTACATACGAGTATCAATGTTAATGTACAACCAACTTTTGCAATGGAGCACGAAACTTTACATGAGTGTAAATAGTAATTATTATAAACATATCGTATAATCTACTATAATTTTTCCTTATTGTATAGCTTCTGTTTGATGCAATTTTCTCTATGAAGCAGTCAATATAATTTTTATCTTTTTGTAGCATTCCAATAAATGTAAAACATATATGTCAACATTAAATTAATTTCTATCAGCAAGATCATCTTTGCATTCATTGCATGGGATAAATTTTCATTTTTCATGTGTCATCCTCATCCTTGTGCACTTCTGTGTATGATCGAGTCACACATCTACGAATAGAGGTTTCTGGAAAGTCGAATAAGAACCATCCTTCTGTCATATATGCGATTAATTATTGCAGAGCCCATTTGTCGCTACGAACAACTGTCGCTTTTCTAGATTAATCGTTGTATTTTTTGAAGTATTATAGTTCGGAAATATTTCGAAAGCTTTCCTATAGGAAAACTTCAAAATTTCAATTTCTCCTGAGAAACTAAAACATAATTTTTGTCTTGGAGAAATTTTTCCTGCGGAGTCAAACCTTTTTTTTTTTGCTGATAAGCATATATGTCTTTTTATTGGTACTTGGTAATGAGCATGTCTTTCTGATTAATTTTTTCTTCTTGAAACTTTTGAGTGAATTTTTGTTTTTTACGTAACATATAAAGAATAAACTTGCTATTATATGTGAATAAAAAAAGAGAATCTTGACTGTTTTGCTAATATAATTTCGATGTTGACTACGAAAAAAATTCTTCGCTCCAATTTTGAAGAGTTTTTTCAAGATTCCGCTGGAGTTGGGTTTCGAAGTTTTATGCAAGATTCTATCTGAGACATATATATTTACCATAAATCTGTGTTGAATTGTCATATGTGATGCATTCGAATGCAAATGAAGTATTTCAGTTTTGGTATCTCATAAATTTTCATAAACTTAATATTATATATAATCGAATGATATTTATTTTCATGATAGCTACAATTAAAATTTTGTTTAAAGTTAATTTAAAAGAATGATTTCAAAATCACATGCTCATACAAACAATATATATATATATTTATTATTCGTTTGTATAAAGACATTCATACAACGTTGATGTAGCATGTGAAGCTGTTTTTTTTTTCTGATTGACATAAAAGAAGAAAAAGAAAAGAAAACAAATATAGAATAGCAAAGATTAAAAATGAGAACTAAAAGATGGCAAGCAAAGACAAAACGCAGAAGACAACAATATAGCATGTTTTCCTAAAAATAAAAAAGAAAAGATTAAAGAAGAATACATATACCAGACAAATATATTCAACAATTGAACATAACTACCCTAGATAAAAAGAACCTGCCTGATAAAACATATATATGAATGATAAATATAATCAGAAAAATAGATAGATTTCTTTTTTCTTTTATTTTCACATGCTCTTCAGATAATTTAGTTGTTGTTGTAATTTATTATTATTTTCTTTTTTATAATTTTATTTTAAACATTAGGTGCTAATAACTGTCGAAGTACTTCATCTTTAAGACAACCTTCAACAAATTCATCACGAGAGATATTTTTGTCATCATTAAGATCTAATTTTTCCATTATATTCTTCACACGATTTTCTGGTGCGTTGTCACCTTTACGATTTTCTTCACCTTAAAAAAAAAAGAAAGATAATAGCAAACAATGAAAATCTTTTAGAGATTAACAATAAAACAAAATGCAAACCTAAAAGTTCATAAATAGCCGTAATCACTTTCGTCATCTCTTTCTTGTCGATCTAAACAAAAAAAAAGAAAACAATAACTCAACGTGACATATTACTGAACTTTAGGACAAAAAAAAGTTGAGGATTAATCACGCGCGTGGACGACCAGCGTAAGATAATCAGTGATGCAACATATACACGTATGTCGTGTGCTTATTATTGAGCGGATATGTACACATAGACAAGAGAAAAAAGGACGACCTTTACTATCTTACTTGTCCATTGGCATTAATATCATAGATATCAAAGGCAAGACCCAGTTTATCTCGTACATCACCATTTGAATTAATGTTTACAGCAAGTAAAAATTCAACAAAATCAATATAACCATTATTATCCATATCGAATGTACGAAATACTTGTAGACTATATTTTTCAGCTTCATGTTCTGGATAAAATTTTTTATACACTTCTGTAAATTGTCTTGGTGACAATTTTCCATTTGGACAATCACGTAAAAATGCTTGATGCCATTGACGAATTTGTTCAGGTGTATAGTTTGTATTTTTTGTAAGACGATCAATTGTTTCATCGTCTAATTCAACACCAACAGTTTTACTTTCTTTGTGACCCATTGTAGTATTATTATGGAAAAAAGAACTAAATCTGAATAGAGGTAATTATAAGAATATAACAAAAATCGTTTTTATAAATGGGATGATATGAAAGAAGCAACACACATGAGAGGAAAACAAAATGAAAATGATCGATTGAAAGCAAGGAAAAAAAGAAAGGTGTGTGAAAGAGGTAATACACATAAAAAAACAATAGCACACAAAACAGTAAATGATGTGTTGTTCTTTGGCCAACACACACGCATACAAGTTGCTTTTATGTTCTGTCTTCTCACTAATACAATTCTTTTTTCTTTTTCTATCCTACGACGACAAACGATGTCGACAAGTCAGCAGCTTGCAAAAGAGAGTAAAGAGGAAAAATGGTTATCAAAGATGCACTATGTGCTTATACAAACGTCCAATTTATATTCGGTTTCCTAACACTTACTATTAGTTTGTCTGTGCGCTTTTTACTTACTGACAACATAATGTAACAAGAGTGTGCGATGATGCGATACTATGAGTGTCCTTTTCATCTCATGCTTATAATGTCATAGTCATTGGTTAAGAAAAAAAAAAAAAAAAAAAGCATAGAAACTCAATCTTCTGATAGCAGAAGTAATAGGAAGCAGCGGTAGAGCTTCTTTTAAAGACTCTAAGAATACAAGAGAAATAAGAAACGACAAAAACAATTGGTATTTTTCCTTTTTACGATTGTTAGACATGCCCAACGACGACATATATATGCATGCAACAGCTGGCCTTATTTATACCAGAGAATAAGAACGATTGGTAGATTGTATATATATATAGTATTATATCATCATATATATGTATATAGATATATATCTATATTCAACGTGGTCGTAAGTCACATCAAACAGCTCAAGAACTTTTCAATTAATAATTCTATTAATCTCTCTTGAGAATTTTTCTTTTGTTTTCTATTCAAAATTACCTTTCCATTTTTATTCATGTCGTACATATCAAAAGCGACTCGAAGTTTTTCTCTGACGTCACCTAAAAACAGAAGAAAATAGAATCGATTAAAAATTTTATTCCTAATCAGATTTTTTATTTTAAATACAAACCATGAGATGTTATATTCACAGCAATAATAAATTCAAGAAAATCAATATAACCATTATCATCCGAATCTAAATCGTAGAAGAGAAAATTTAAAAAAAATTGAAATTTTTAACCATCAATATTTACCAAAAGCTTTAAAAACTTGTGAACAAAATCTTTCAGCTTTACCTTCAGGATAAAATTTCTAAATAAAACAAAAATAAACAGTTTCTATATCAACTGACAAATGAATATTATACCTTATACACTTCTAAGAATTTCTTTTTATCAAGTTTGCCATTAGGACAATCACTATATAATAAAAAAAATATTTATATATTAGTTGGTTTTTTTTTGTTGTCAGTTTTTTTTAATACTGAAGAAATCCTTTATGCCAATCTTGAATTTGTTGTTTTGTATACGTTGTATTTTTTGTTAATCGTTCAACATCGTCATCTGACAAAGAAGTTAAATCTTTTTGATGTTTACTGGTTTTTTGTCCCATTTTGATTTTATAATTAATTGTACACAAATCTTAAATTGATTATTAATACTTCTATAAAGAACAGGATAATATATATATAAATATTTATATCAAGGAACTATCGAAAACAAATTTGAGACAAAATATTATGTGACTCAAACATAATCGACTTTTTTTTTCTGGAATTAATTCGAGCTACATATAGCATGAATAAACGATATCACGAATAAGTGCTTCATTTTAAACACACATCAAGGTGATATTTAACAAGTAAAACTGTACATATAAATATACACTCAACTCAACATTAATAAATATATGTATAAACGCAACATAAGTATTGAGATCGAATGCATACACCAAACCTTAACATAAAAGATATATGCGCGTTCTCTTCTTTTTGCTGCATCCTTCACTCCCTCATGACGACGATCGACGGATGATCGACGATGATCACTGCAGCAGTAACGTCAACATTACTTATTCGTAGTTGTCAAAAAATGAGACGAAGCAACCGGGCAAGCGAACGAGAAAGAAAGATAAATGAATGCTTTTTATCGTTTTACCATATTCTTTCTTTCCTCTTCGTTTTTTTTTCTTGACTGTACTCTAATAACGACAAAGCATTACACAAGCAATGTGGTCTCTATGCTTTCCACAATCATAATGTTGGTTATCTTATCTTTTTGTTTTGTTTTGTTTTTATTATTTTGATTAATATAAATATAAATTACAAAAGAAAATGTCTACGTTGAACTAATAGAAACTTTCAGTTGGCCAACTAGAAAATTTATATTGTCTTGGTAATGGATTAATATTAGCAGATTTAGTGCGTTCATAAATTTCAATAGCTTGTTGTGGCAAAATTTTCCAACCAATTTTCTATCAAAAAAAAGAAAAAAAAAGCCATCACATATAACTCATTAATCAAAAGTAAAACAAAAATAACTCAAAATGCTCACGTCATTTTCTGTTTCTGGAAATGCGCCTAATAAACGTCGACGACGTTGACCTGCTAAACGTTTATGTAATGGTGGAAAGACATTAGCTGGTTGTTGCCATTCCGTACGTTTCAGAGAAATAACACAATTCTCACGAGAAATACCATGAACTTTAGCTATACTATCATACATCTATAATTCATCATTAATAAATAAAATTTTCTAAGAAAATTAAACATATCTTACTTGTCGATATTCATCAATCAACCATGGATCAAATTTGGTTGTCCATGCTCGATGTGCTTCTTGTTCTTTTTGAAGAACTTCTTTTCTAATAAAAAATTCTTTTATTCTTGTTTTCAACAATTCACTTTTTTTATATTTTTTTTTTTCTAATTAATCGAATTACCTAGCTGTATCTACGGCATTATAATCTATAGATTCAATATTACTTGCTCGTGACAATGCAGTTACTGTTGGTCGAGTACTAGTAGATACTGCACTTTTAATTGTTGTTCGAGCCGATGGTATATTAGTTGAAACTAAAAGAAAAAATTTGTCTTTTTTGCTTTTTGAAGAATAATAATTTCTTAATTTACCATGACGAGTATTTTTTTGTGACATTTTGTATTTTAATTTATTTAAAAAGAAATCAGTTTATTTAGTTTATATATAGATGGGTTTCTTATATATTTTTTTGTTGTCACAATTCTCGTTTGAATCATAGCGAAAAAAAAAATCTATCGGCAGAGAAACATTTAAAATGCATAACGACAATTGCAAACATACAAACGTTTTCTTGGCAGGTGGCTTCTTGACTTTCTCTTCATCTGACAAGAAAAAAAACTGCATTATTATTCTACTTTTTTTTTCTATTGATTGAATTCTTTATAAACAAAAATAGAAAGAGACAGAAAGAAAAAAAATTATAAAATTAGATATAATAAATACTATGTCCGATATAAACATCAATTTCTATACAGATTAGACTTTAATATCTTAAACATTGTTAGTATTTTATTTCTTTTTGTCATTTGGATTAATACTTCAAGAATATCTGCATTATCAAGTAACAAACACTTGAAAGAAGAGTTTCAAGCAATAAATATCTCATAAATCGTAGTACCTTTTTTTTTGTACGATGAATAATAGGTTGCATACATTTCGAGTTTATTTTAACAACTTCAACAAAAAAAATAATATTTCATGATAATTTTTGTCAAAAAGCAAGCTTGAAAACTACTCTCAGTATTAGTTTTCAAAATGATTCAACATAAACAATAAAGCCACATAAGTTTTGAAGTATTTAATAGTTTCTATTCAAAGGTTATTCTGATTTTTCACAGTATATTGCAATACCACAGCAATAAAGCTGCCATGAAAAGACAAACAAGACAATTAAATCGAGATGGAATCGGTCAAGGTTTTTCACGCTCGATACTAATGTCGGCTTTATAATTTGAATATTAGATTGATGCCAAACAAAAAGCTGAAAGATTTTGAGCGGTAATTCAATGCGTACAAAACTTCTTTAGCGTCAAAACCTGAAATTTCAATTCGATTATTGAAGATCTTTTCAAATATAGGGTTATCCATAAAAGTTGTTCAAGTGAAAATCGCAATTTTTAGACGTTTCACTACCTCTGAGCGTCCAGAATAAACAGATTTTTAAGAAAAAGCCTATTTGTTCTAACATTTTGTCTTTGTAACAGGTGGCACAGAATAGATTTTCCTATATTATCCGGTTGATTGGATGTTATGCTTTCTCATCGCAAGATAATTCGTGACAAGGTTTTATTCTCATTAAAGACGAAAGATTAATGAATACAGCATACAAATCCAGATTTGTCATTATTTCCTTTATATTATGAAGGATATCAAATAAAGATCAGTGACCCTTTCATTGAAACACTTATTTTATCAAAAGACAACACTTGAAGCTTTTTATAAAATGGTATATTTTATTATATGACATAGTGTCCTTCTTTTTTTGTGGAGGAATCAAACTTTTTCGTACAGTAAAATCACATACAGAATGTAAAAATTTTCTTTGTCAAGTTTTTTGATAGAAAACTTTTTTTCGTCCCTCAATGTTGCCTTTACTGTTACACGACTCCAATTTATAGCTTCAGCCAGTTCATTCTATTCTATCAACTATAGTCTAATGAGCGTATATCAGGTGAATTTGCTAGTCCATAGGTCATCGAAATAAATGCAGGAAAATGATAAGCATACCATTTTTGACTCAGGTGATGCTTGTGAGGTCTAGCCCTCTCCTGCTTACTTGGCCAGTTGTTTCCTAGCATTTTGTCGTCAGATTTCAAAGCCATTAAAAGAACATCATTGATGTATCTTTTTGCATCGATTGTTCAATCTGTCAAAACTACTGGCACTGTTAGCCCTTATCTATATAGATCAAACCATACCATCACCTTTACTGAAAATTTTTGTTTTTTTTTATGAACAGTACCTTTCGCATGTCAGTCTCTTCTCTCCGTTCACAGACACGTTCAGTCGTTATGATTATTAAACATTCTTTATAGTTAAAAAAAAGGTTTTTCGCTCACAAAAAGTCACTTTTTAGTGAAATTTTTAGTGGAATTTTTTAACATCCCATTCGCAAACTTCATCTTCTTCTTTTTCTGAAGATTGATCAATTTTAATTGTTTAATTTCCTTGTGTGGAAATAATCAAGATCGTTACGTAATATTCGTTTCAGAGTCCTCGCCAATCTTCTTGTCAACAGCTACATCTCCTAAACTAGGCGGCCGGAAGGAGACGATAGTTTGATAGAATAAATGTTATTGGTCATTTGAGTCCACAACTTGATTGTTGGTAATGAAATTACTTCACCTAAATAATCGTAAATTTTTGTTGGTCAATCACCATTTTTACATTTATCTCTCACAGCTATTTGTATGTATTTACTTTTCATCTGTCCTCTAATATGTATAAAACAAGCTGTGCATCTAATCATACATACCTTTAATAAAGAATTTCAAGTACCATCTTTTGGTTTAAAAAAAAACGTATTTCAACCAAGGACATAATAGTGAAAAATTTTCAACAATACTAAGAGTATAATTTATTGCGCATCATCTGTTATTCAACAATTGAAATACGTGATAACGCTTCATAGAATTCTGAGAAGTTACTCTTTTGAAAATGCTGCTAAAAACCAATATAGCATGAAAGTTTCGTGAAACACGTATAAAAAATGACAAAAGAATCGTAATAAGTGTTCAGATGCATCTGACATCCCTGTTGACTTTTGACTGGCTTTTCCTAGACTCCCGTGATACATCGCCTCTATTTCAATACTGCTCTGTGCGCCTGATTCTATGGTATCCTCAGTGAGAAAGTTGCTTTGTGTATGTGTTTGTGTTTCGATGAATACTTAAATTTCATATATATTCAATAATTGAATTCAACTTTCTGGCTTGTCATATATGCGAAATTCTATTTTATTCGAGTATTTCTATGTCTACTTATTTGATAAAAATATTTGAATAATTGATTGATTAAAATCTGCACATGTCAAATACATATGCATTTTTTGCTTTACAATTTCTATGAAACAAATATAGTTTAATTGAATAATGAATCTTCAATGATTTACTATTATTAGCATTCTGAAATTTATTAATATTGACATTTTAATTAGAATGAAAAATGTTGATTGTGAACCAAGTCACGTCAACTTATCAGCAATAGTATAAACAATAAGTTCAATCAAACATATTTATTCTTAGCTACATAGGGAAAACTGAAGATTGATTATTGTATGAGAATTAATTGCAGCGAAAACGAGATAAATCTGCTATACATAATTTATTTAACGACTCATTACTTGTCGATAAACATTAGAAAATGATAATTGGAAAAAAAATATTTTTGAAGAAGATGATAAATCTGTCGTTGAAAAATTTTTGTCTTTAGAAAAATAATTCAAACCAGCCATAAAATTTCATTAGTAGTTAAATCAGTAGAAGTTGATCGAACAATGATAGATATATATATACAGACATTACAGCATCATTAAATATAATATTATTGATAATAGCCTATTGAACTAATTGA